TTTCCCTTCTGCAGGTGCTAACCGAATTGTTTTGGAAGACTCTAATATCTTGCAGCCTGTGGGACTAACTGTATTTGAAAACTGGCTGTATTGGATTGACAGGCAACAGCAGATGATTGAAAAAATTGATATGACTGGTCGAGAAGGACGTACAAAGGTCCAAGCTCGTATTGCACAACTTAGTGACATCCATGCTGTGAAAGAGCTCAACATTCAGGAATATAGTAAGTGCAATCCCTGTCTGCATTGTGAACAGTGCCTGTGGGGCTTGAGGTAGGGAGTAGCCGCAGAGAGATGAGCCTTGTCACTGATCGACAGCAGTGCAGATTGAAGGGGCAGAAGTTGGTATCATTTTGTCTGTACATCGCCAGGGCACAATTAAGTTTGTTTGGACTGGAAATCTATCAGAAACACAGCATCACATTTTGTTGCTGATGACAGCTTTATTGGTAGTCCCATACAGGCACCTGGCATTTGAGTGTCTGTAGGCACAGTGGAAATGTCCTGTTATCCCTAGTAAAGGGTTTTCTGGATGATGGCTGCGACATGCTAATGAATCACTATTAGGTGTTTACTCCACTTAGGCAAGTACAGCTCTCAGGACCTTTTATTGTACTTGCAGTGAATGTTTCAGTGGACTGTCTGCCTTGAAAGCAAACTGAGTAATTTCTGTTGGTAGCAGTTTGTGTTGAAAGTGACAGAAGAGCAAAATTGCATCACACAAAGGAAGTGTGTATTAAATAATAATTTGTGTTGAACATGGCTACACTTCTAGAAGTTTTCTATTTACCAGGATATCGCCTTCCTTCGCTACAGACTCGCTTGAAATGATGGGAGCTGGATGGTTAAAGCAGCAGAGCTGCCATCATCCTGGAGGAAATAGGCCTGGTTAATAGGCTGTGGTGCATGCCTTGGAGAAATACATAAAAAAAACGTCTGGGGATGTTTAATTAAAGCATGAGTGCAGACTACTACTAGTTTTGTTTGCTATTAATTTCAGTACATCTGTCAGGAGTTCCAAGAGAAATATGTTGTCCTTATTAAACATTAAAATGAAGAGAAATATTTATCTAGAGCATGTTAATTTGTGTTTCAGAGACAGTGTGGAAGCTTCAGAATTCATAAATTACAAAAGTTTACTTTTTTAATGGTCTTCGATAGAGAAAATGAAGTATGGAATCCAAGTTATGTTTTTGTATTGCTAATGCTGCTATTTTTGCTGCAAAACTACTTCTACCTCACACAAAAAGCTTTCGGTACTGTTGACTGTTTTAGCAGACCCCATGGCATGATTCTCACAATGTTTCAGATCACAGACAATTATTGATGTGTGTAAGGGATAAAAATGCACACAAGAAAATACAACTTTTCCAAGGTTGTTTTTAGTAATGGCCTCCCCAGGGAATGGAATTAAGGAGTTCTGTGAGCCCAAAGAAATCACTGAAAGGTCAGACAGGAGGTGGGGATTTCTTGTCAATACCCGTCTTCCTTATTTTTAAAATCACAGGACAACATCCATGTTCTCAAGATAATGGTGGCTGCTCGCACATCTGCATCGTGAAGGGTGATGGCACCACGCGCTGCTCTTGCCCGGTCCACCTTGTTCTGCTGCAGGATGAGCTGTCCTGTGGAGGTACGTCCTTGCCGTGCTCTGTGTCGCTGAGCTCTCAGCTTCTGGATTGAAGGTGGGGAAGGGTGGGGTGTCCCATCTTTAGGGGTGGCTTCTGAGCAGAAGGAATGTGACAGTCCAGGTGCTGTTATACGCTTTTACAAGGCTTAGCTATTGGCTTCCCCCAGCTCAATCTGCACATATTGAGGAGGAGTAAGAGAAGAGGAAAAATTCATTAGTTGACTGTTTCATAAGGATTTCTGTTCACCCTTTCTACTTAAGACCACTAAATTATTTCAACTTGATTTTTTTAATTGCATGATTTTTATTACTTTTTTTTTATCACTCTGTATGTTGTCCTTTTTCAAATAGCGGTAGATTGTCACATTCTGGCATATTGCACCATGTCTGTGCCACTTTAGTCTGCTGTCTTCCTCAAACTCATCCTGCGCGTGTCTTTCTGAACTGCAGTCCCAGAAGGACGAATTGCCTCCTCCATAGTGATACAGCCACTGTAGCCTGCACCCTGGTGTCTCCAAGGGTGGGGTTGAAATGGGGGAGAGGAGAGGCACTTTGGTGCTTGCGTCTCTTTGTGCCACTGAACTGAATGGATTTATTATGCAATCTTCTCGCCATCAAGGCGACGTGTGGTCTTGCAGTGGAACAAGAGCTAACATAATCCAGATATTTTCTCCAGGCAAGTTTAATACTAGGCCAAAAAAGGGGGGGAGGAAAGGAGGATTAAAAAAAAAGGGGGGAAAAAATCCACGCTTACTTACTACATGAGATTAACAGTTGCTGTAGTAAATGTTAACAGCTAACAGCTGTGTTGAGATACTGAGACTTGACTAGATGGAGCAGTTTTTTGTTGGTTTACAAGAATTTTGACTGAACAGAGCAGTCGAGAGCACATAACTAGACACTGAGTCACAGTGCATCCATCTGCAGTGCATTACAGCCTTTTAACATTTCCTATACAATGACTGTCGAACATTAGAAAGAAAGTGAGGCATCTGTTGTGTATACAGTGGTAGTGCAGGAAAGGGGGAGTAGAAAAGCGTGTTGACTTTAAATGAAGACTTTTGAAGACCTACTAAGAGAAGGGTGTAAGAGGTTGAAGTGGGAAGGGAACAAAATAATTGTGTTTTGAGTGTGCATGTTTATCTGTTCCTCCTGTTCGTTGTCTAATGAGCCCCTATCAATGTGAGCCTACAACCGTCACATGGGGCTCAAGATCTGCACAAATGACTGCAGAGGCAGTGGGGGTGGAAGCTACCTTGAGACGTGGCACACTTATCATTTGTTTGATACATGGAAGCAGCTGAGCTCTTCTTGTCCTTACCTGTCCTGATCTGCTGCTTGTTCACCTGGATTTTTAATTTTTGTTTGTTTGTTTGATTTTTAAAGAACCACCAACATGCTCCCCTCAGCAGTTCACCTGTTTCACAGGTGAGATTGACTGCATCCCGGTGGCCTGGCGCTGCGATGGTTTCACTGAATGTGAAGACCACAGTGATGAAAAGAACTGCCCGGTGTGCTCAGACACCCAGTTCCAGTGCGAAAGTGGACAGTGCATAGAAAGTGCCCTGCGGTGCAACGGAGAAGCAAATTGCCAGGACAACTCGGATGAGAAGAACTGTGAAGGTACAGAGGATCTCTTGGAGTCTAATGGAAATAAAGTGTTATGGGGACACTATGAGGAGGATTTGGGAGGATCTGAGGTTCTGCTAGTTTTTCAACTGATCTGCTGAGTGAGAAATTATTTCACAACTCCATACTTTCATTTCTCTACTTGTCAGATAGAAATAACACTGGTCTCCTGCACAGTGATTTAAGCTCTGTTTGTGAAGAGTGCTCTTAAGAAAAAGACTGCTACCTCTGAAAACCTGGTAACTGGGAGTGAATTACGAAGTGTGGAGCAAGTCCTGGTCATAGTTTTTTCTGTACATTGTACCGAGTGAAGGTCTTGGGATTATTTATTTTCTAATACCTGAACAAAATGAAGCTACGCCTTTGCAAGTGAGTGGCAGTGAGAGACAGACAAGATTTTTGGAGACCTCCTCTTCCTATAGAGCACAGCAAAAGAGAGTATTTAAGTCGTCATTACAGAGGGAAGTGCTATTGCCAGTACAATTAGAATTAGGTTATTTTAATTTCGGAGAAGACAGGTTATGCTGGTGGAATCTGAACTACCTCACCACTGTAGAATGGGAAACATGAGCAAACCCACCCTCTCCCCACTGCACAAGTAGCAAGGGGTTGTAGGAACAACTTCTAAGCTTGAAAGAATGCCTCTTCTCTCTATCCTTTCAGTACATTTTCCTTCTTTGAAGAGACTAAGTGTCTTTGAATCAATGCTAAATTTCTTTCCAAAAGATGTGCTCTAGTTCAAACAAAAACATACAGACCTATGCAGAAATTCCTGTGTGATGAATGATTGTTAGCCAGATGAGATGCTGACATCTGAAAATACATTGTGTAAGTTAGCTTCCCAGTTGTCATCCTGTGACTGGAAATATCAGACCAGGGGCTGTTTATTGCCTTCAAAGTGGCCCTGTTATTCAGAGTATTCAAGTCGATTACAGATCAGAAAAGCCTTTAGTTTAACTTCTTAATTCAACTGAAGTCAGAAAGAATTTCTGGATTTATGAGAAACAGGAGGGAAAAATGTGTAAACAACAGCAGCCAGCATCTTGCCTGCAGCACCTTTTTTCCCAAAGTGATAGTTTATTTTTTGAAGTGTACTGGCAAAGCTCCAGTTTTATCTTCTGTCTTTCATTTCAGTTTAAAAACATAATGTCAAGTGAAATATATTGTCCCATGATCAAGGAGTTTTCTCATTTACAGGAAGAGCGCAAGGGCATTGAGAAACCACATTTATCTTTCTTAAACAATGTTATCATCATGCCTTGGCAGATTTATTTTTAATAAATTAATTTTTCTTTCTTATACTACAGTAAATTATTAGAGTTGGGGTTTCTTGTATTAGTTTTGCAGTAACCATGTCCTGGGATAAATGCCTGTGTTCTCAGTGGCCTTCCGCTTCTGAGCTATTTTGGTCCACGTAACTTTATCTTGTAGTGTTCAATAAGAACACTGGGTGGTAAGGACCAGGTGCCCACTGTGCAGTATCCTCAACTGAACACTTTTTCCTGCGTGTTTGGCATGATGGACTTTTGTGTGTCACTGGCTGCTTCAAGAAATTAAGTTAGCAGCAGGCTAAGCTCTCCTAGGATGCTCCCTGATTGTATGCTTGGGTGTCTTGTTTTCTTAATAATTTTAAAGAGTAGAAGTGTTTTGATACTGACTCTTGGTGTGTGTGGGGTTTCTCTTTTCCAGTGCTCTGTTTAACCGATCAGTTCCGCTGTGCCAGTGGGCAGTGCATTGGGAAAAACAAGAAATGTGATCACAACCTGGACTGCAGTGACAGCTCAGATGAGCAAGGATGCTGTAAGTGTAAAACCTGAGACTACAGACTTGACTGCAGTATCCAAAATTGTTTCTTGCTGTCTCTATGGGTTAGATTTTATTCTGCCAGCCAGACTGAATTAATTGCTCCCAAAATGAATGCTCCTGTTCATAATGCTGTCATGCAATTAATGCACAATGTGGTGGAATAGGAATAACAGAAATAACTAGTATTCTGAATGAGTTGTCTCTGAGGCAGAGCAGGCTTGTAGTTTTTCCATTTGCTTTTTAAAACTTTTAAAGGAAGTAAAAGGTCTGTTGTACTATAACCTGTTAGTATGCTGAGATGGTGCAGTGTTAAAAAAAGTCTTTGTAGCAGCGTGAGGCTTTTATACATAGCTGCTCTGCTTCGTGGTTTTCTCATCCAGAGAATTGATAGCAGGTGCTTTTAGAAGCAGAGGAGCACTCTGTTTACAGAATAAACCTTCTAAGATTTCCTTTGTATCTTGAAAAGATGTAATTGTGAGCTTGATTTTATGATTTGTAACATGTGATATCCCCTACCTTGAAATCTCCAGGGCTCTGCAAGAAAATCACTGCCTTTAAAATTCAACTTGAAAGTTCATTTTCACTGTTGGTATTTTAAAACAAATTGTAAGTGGAGACATCTCTTCTTGTGTTAGCAGTCCATATGTCATGGTTGACACACAGGTAACTTGAAAATGCACAGCCAGAGTTGGACCCTTAATCTTAAGGAGGAGGAGTAGGAGATGTTCTGTCATGCTACTAAGTTATTAGTGACATTATCACAGACATCTGTAGTTATCTTTAGTACAGTTCATATATTTTCTGGTTTTGTAACAGAGGATGGAAAATTAGCCACCCGGAGTAAGACGGTAGTTGTCACAGTCCCTCTTCCAGTATGATCAGAAGTCTGTTTGCTTATCTCTGTAGACAGTGACAAGCTGGTTAAAGTGTGGATTTGGTGTTCAGGGAGAAGAAAATGTGTTGAGGAAAAGACTTCCAGTAATGGATAAGATGTAAAACACTGACTAGAACAGGAAAATACTTTAAAGTCTGCTTTTCTTGTCAGATTCATGAAACACAGGCAGGGGGTTGTCAGTTATTCCCAGAAATGTCGTTGCTTAGAATTG